GTGCTTAGTTTTCATCAAAGTAACTATTAAACAGCTTTTACAATATTACCATGTCTGCTTACTTTTAAGTCCAGTCCAATTGCTAAGAACATTGACCTTGATCTGCTATCCCATAATGCACTGGAAGATCTTGATCTTTGTTGTTGGCTCTGCCAGTGACTCCTTACAAAATGCACAGACCCAGTTCTACTGTCACATTTTGCATTGGCAGACCTGAATCAGTGTAGTTTGCCATTAGACTTATAAGCAAGTGTATATAGAGAGGACGAATAGTGTGCATTCACACTGTATTTATCCAGTATTCATACTTCACAAATTTATCTTGCTTCATTAATTTTTAAAGGCCTAAATAGACTGAAGTCAAATTTGTAATGAGACTTTAGATTTAAAAGCTTGACTTTTACATTTTTCTATTAAAATATGATCAAGTTATAGCATTTATTTTATTCAGAAATGTACCTCTGCATCTAGAATATTGTTTTGTCCAAAAAAAGCTTTTAAAGAAATTGATGGATTGAAACAGTATCTGGTATAAAGCTTCAAATCAAAATGAACTTGGATAATTTTGATTTGTATTTTTTTCTCTGTAAAGAATTTAACTGAGTTTAAATTACAGTCCAGTAAATCATTCCCCCAAATCTCTGCTGATACTGATGGATGATTTGTTGTTCTGATATCACTCATTCATAAAAACTATCACTTGCAGTAAAACTGTCCACAACATGTCAGTGTACATTTTAAATATTTACCTGTATTTCTTACATCTTATGAGCTGCCACTGGCTGAAAGTTCCTTTTGGCAGTATTGACAGAATATTTCCAAGATCAAATCCTTTGATGACACAAGCCTATGTCCTGTGGCCATCTTGAATTTTGTGCTACATATGGATAGTACCAAATGCTGGTAAGCATTTGGTCAGAAACCTAATTTACATTGCATGCCACTTATAAAACCATGGATTGGGAACCTATTTTACACTTACAAAACAAAGGAGTACGTTCCACCAGTAAGAGAACAAACCTGTTAAAATCAAGATTTTTGGCTACCCTTAAAGTGCCACACAAAATCTCTTGACTTGACATGGGTTGCTAACCCCTGGTCTAAACTGCATGCAGGTGTGTCCCAGAAAGATTTCTATGCATCAAAATTGTACGTTTTAATGAACAGGTGATATCAGGCTATCAAATCATTAATCAGGATAATTGGGGAATGATTTATCAGACTAGAGTTATAGCTGCTGTATGATTTTTAACTTTCATCCTTCTTTTCAGTTACATTGTTTGGGTTTAGACATCTAATTATGTTGTATGGACATATTTCAAGGTTTGCATGTAGACATTAGTTTATTTGCTGTTTTATGTTAAAAATGTATGAGGTTCAGAGTTAAATTTTGGATAAATTTATTCATATAACCATGTTTTTTTGCATATTTTCACTTCTTTAAATTTCTGCAATTGTAACTTGCATTGTCACTATGTTTGCTGGGTATACATGTAATTGGTGCGACACTGCACTTTTTTGATCATTTGATACACTTGGCTTCAACTGAAGTTTGATTGGTCAATAAGTATATTTTAATGCATTGTCATGGTAACCTGAATAAATTTGAGAAGTTCCCATTGAAGAAAACTATTAATCCTGTGAACCTCACTAATCCCGTAAACTTTAACATATATTTTTTGTTTGTATCATGATGGCAATCAATTTGAATATTTTATCTTGAGTCATTCTTAAGGATGTTAAGACACAAGACTTTTCTGGCATCAGTGCTGGAGTTTTTATTTGTTAACTGGTAAGATTTGTTTTAAAGTTGTTGAAAGTCATACAGAATACATCATAATGCATATTGCAGGGGTAACATTGGAGACTGCAAAAAACTATGCAGTTATATTAGACATTTATGACACCTGGTATAAATTTTCAACTAGTGTTTTCCACCTGGAATCACTTGCTACTGACACTGGCTTATGTAAGTCATATAGAATTTTTGTGCAATGAATATTTGGAAAATTTGCTGATTGTTGCTTGTAGCAACATAGCTTGCCAATATTTTCTTTGCAATAAGCATATGTTCTGTCAACTATTCTACATGTAACTTTTCTTCTTAAATTTAGTCCTGAAGTATTCAGGAAATGCTATGCATATTCTAGCCACTACTCTCCTTCAAATTGAGTTTTGTTAAATTCTGAAAATGTTATGCTTGTGGAAATGTTAGAGATTTACAGCATTTGACTCAAGTGATTATATTTTAGGTTTTAACAACATTCTTATTCTCCATCATTTGTTTTAGTATTTATCATAAAAGCAACAAATTGGATATCAGGCAACCAGTCTAACACTTAAATCCCTATTGATTTGATTGAAAATCTGACTGCAGTTGTCTGTATACAAATAGCTGACTTAATGATATTTTCTCAGGAATTGTAAATTATAATTAATGATATCCATGTATTTCTAGACAATTATTTTTTTACTTATTTGTAGTTTACGATAGCTGAAAGGAATATCACATAGGAGCCATAAAATAAATTTTGCTCTGGAAGATAGCATGCTAGAAATTAAACTGATTCTAAATCAAAAGTCAAAGGATTGAGATGATATTTGAACTTCTGAACCTTCTTTCAGGCAGTTTGTAAATGCAACAGTTTTGACTACACAATCTTATATCCCATCCACCATTTTTATCTGGTGATATTAGGACTGTATCAGCATACATTTTTCTCCACTGACATAGATAAGCTATTCACAGCCTTTTCGTCTCCAAACTCTCTAGCATAGTGTTTTAAGCAATTCAGACTCGGTATCCAAAACTCTGCCATGATCAACTTCCATGGAGGAATGATTAAGCCTGCTTTTTCTCAATTTAAAAAAACCCATCATAATATCTTGGAGACTTTTTTAAAAATACTTTTGCCAAATAAAAAAAAATAGAAAGAGAATTTAGACTTTGTCAGGATCAGGACAGATTCAGTGTTTGAAAAAAGTTTTAAATTTGTATCACCTACAACAAATGTGGCCTAAAACAATATTGTCAAATATAATCATTGAGAATAAACATGGTATTTCTTTTTTAAACAGTTTAAATAAATGCAAAGCATATTTTATTACTAAATATAAAACTGCTATTGCAGAATTTTAAAGAAAATTGGTCAAATTTTAAAAAGCTCGACAAGTTAATAAATTATCTTCAGATGTTCCATGGTTCTATAGTGCATATGAGACTATAGCAATTCAGTATATTATGTTGTCATGAAAAGAACATTTCCAGTCTGTGTCACTGTTTTGTTACATTAGGTGTGTGAAAAATGAAACAGAAGAAAGTAAAATAACCATAGGATTATGATCATTGGTATTTCCCATATTCAGATATCTTAATAATTCACAATTTTTGGCTGATTACCTTTGATGAAAGGTTGTTTGTTTTTTGAAGATTGTACCTGGCTTCCTATGATGAAGGGTGCATGTATTATTGCTAAAGGACACCTTTGGAAGACCAAACAGATGTTTGTTTCTTATTGTGGTGCCAACATTAAATAATATTGTAGAACACTGATTTAATTTTCTTTTTCCATTTGCTTAATATTTATACAGATTGATCGGTGCTTCAGTGGTGATCAATTTCCTTTGAAGTTTCAGCAAGTTTATTTTTCTGGAAACAGATTAAAAACACAAGGAATTAGCCAATATTTTGGTTGATTGTAGCAGTTATTTTTTCTGCTTTCAAAAGTTGGTTGATTGTATCTAGTCCCAGTAGCAAAAGAAGACCAACAAGTAGATCTCATGGTTTTTTTGGGGATGGGTTGGAGTTTGTTTCTTCACATTTCTGGTGGTATAGTGATGCTGCCTTCCATGCATGCATCAGAACTTTTATTAAAGAAAAGGCCAGCAGATGATGAATACACAGGTGTTCAGTTCTGTTCTGATACTAGAGAAAATATGAGTGTTCATGAGGCATTTAAGTCTGTGAGTGAAAAGAAGAGGAATTTTATTTTCCATCCACATAAGAGGTCAGTCATGATAATTATATTATTTACTAGTGAGTGGTGAGTGGCCAATAAGCCAACAGTTTCATCTGAAAGATCCATTATGAAATAGTGCCTTGTCTGATTTATCTTTGCTAATAGAAATGTTTGTTTTTTTTTAAAATAACTAGATCTCACAGCATACAGTATTCAGGCCAGATGTCAGAATAAGCAGATTATGATATAACAATTCACTGTTAAGATGGTTGGTCAATATCAACAAAAATTTTTTTATCTAACAATAGATAAATTCCAGTGCATTTTATAAAAATTTGTAGCTTCCTTTCATAATGCCTCTGAATTTCTTCACTCCAAACCCAAGGTTGTATATATACAAGTTTAAACAGCCAAGTTTGGTAAAACATTTACCAGATGGTATAATTTGTTGCCAGTAAGGAATATAAATCAGAATTTGTAACATTGGTGAAACCAGCATGATCACTGAATAAACTTTTTACTCATGTTTTTTCATGATCTTAAGAAGAAAAAAACTTTTTTCCTGGTATAAGAAGAATACATGTATATGAAATTGCAGGAACCATGCCATGATCATCCTATATTAGAATTCATACATGATCTATTCCACAAGAATGATAATAAACTTTTTACATGTTACTTTTCACACTCTTTAAGAAAGAAACAAATTTTTATTGTGTGAGAAAACTTAACGTATATGAAATTTCAGGAGCCACACTACAATCGTGTTGTATCCAAATTCGTGTTATAAAAGAGCATACTGTAGTTGGCTTACATTATACTCACATACTTTAGTCAAGGTATCATCAACAAATCCAAACCAAATTGATGGTCGGTTCTTCATTAATTTCAATGCCCTTTTCTAAAATAACTCCATGTATAAATTGACAACTGCCTTTGGTGAGACTGGAGACCCCATTGCCTCTCCCTGTTTCTGTTCGTAAAACTGCCCATTATAAATAAAATGTGTGCTGTCCAAACAATGCTACATTAACCGCTCCAGTTGCCTAGTGGTTAGAGCGCCCGCTTCAGATGCGGGAGGTCATGGGTTCGATCCCTGGTCAAGTCATACCAAAGACTTACAAAATGGTACTAACAGCTGCCTCGCTTGACGCTCAGCATTAGAAGCTTAGTGTTAGGACTTGTCGGCCTGGTGTCAGGATAATGTGACTGGGTGGGACATCATGCTACATGTCTGCAGCATGATGCCCCAGTGCTAGACATCACTATAAACTGCCACACTGCAAACATCATAGCGATATGACAGAAAAATTGTATTGTTAAAGCTACATTAAAAATCACATCACATCACATCACATCACAAAGCTTCATTAAGGCACATATATGTCTAGGTCTGTGATCTTTTGGACAATATGTATGATGATGTATCACATCTACAAAGAAGGATTCAAACCTTCAAAATGAGATGCTACCGCAAGATCTTGGGCATCTCATACATTGACCAATGAGAAAACCCACAACAGGATCCAACGAGCCATCAGATCCTATGAAGACTTCTTGACCACTGTAAAAAAAGCACAAACTGAAGTGGTACGATCATGTCTCAAGATCATCTGGACTGACAAAAACAATCTTGCAAGGCACAGTGTGAGGGTGTAGAAGAAGAAAAAGAGGTGGGAAGACAACAGTAAGGAGTGGACAGGCATGGGACTTGGAGATTACCAAAGGGCAGTAGAGAACAAGGAAAGATATAGAGAATTGGTTAAGTCAACTGTGGTGCCCCAATGACCTTGTGGGTTAAGGGATTATGATGGTGATGGTGGTGGTGTATGATGATAATGATGGTGGTAGTGTATGATGATAATGACGATGATGATGATATGGTGTTTCATTTTTCCTTCTAAATCCTATGACTAAAGTTAGATATTTGTTGAAAACATGCAGTTCACTTTCTATACAAGTTTCATATCACATGATTATTATAAGTCACATGATCAACATTCCTTACTAATATAGGCAGTGTAATATTGCCAAAATTTTGAATTTTTAAGATATTTATGCTCTGAGGGTAGGAATTTACTAATGATTGTGAATTATCCAGAGCAAGGAAGCAACCTTTTCAGTTGTTGCTATACAATTATTTCTACGCTATCACTTGTAGTTTGTGAGAAAGAGAAATTGATCTGTACTTAATGTTTGATTAAAGATTGATAAACCATGCAGTATTGTAAGCAAGAATTACCCATTTATTGATTATTTTTATTTGTGTTCCTGCTTTATAATTTTCCATACTATTCCAAGTTTCTCATTAAAAAATAATTTTTTTTCTCAACAGGACATCAGTACACTTTATTCTTTCAAGTACTTTGGCATCTACATCATGGATGTTTTTCATGTAGATACATTTTACTCTCAAAGTAATTTTGAAAGTATGATGAATCTGCCTCATGAACATCAATCATGGTGATGAAAATTTAGCACTGGGAGGAATAAAGGATAAACATTACTGACATCCCATTGAATTATAAACTTTTCTATGTAAGACCTGGCGGACATATTCATTTTATATGTTGGTTTATTATGTGTTTTGTAGATGTGAAAAATGTTTTTATCAGCACTTACAATGAAGGAGAGAGAGAGAGAGAATGCAATTATAAGAGAACATTTATATTCAGTGTTTAAGAGTGCAACAAATTAAGAAAGCAGTTTGTTTTCATAACATTTAATAGGAGATTAGCTGAATAATTTCCTTTTCAAAAATCACATCTGGTCACATGACTAAAAACAGTTGTCCCAAAGAGAAATAAGTCTTTGTCTCAATAAACATTTTAGGAATTAGATACTTTTATAACTTTACATCAGAGTTATAAATGAGATATGTTTAAAATGTTACATCAGAATTACGAATGAGATATTTTTATAACTTTACATCAGAGTTAGGAATGAGATACTTTTGTAGCTTTACATTAGAGTTAGGAATGAGATACTTTTATAAATTTACATTAGTGTTAGGAATGAGATACTTTTATAACTTTACATCAGAGTTAGTAATGAGATACTTTTGTAGCTTTACATTAGAGTTAGGAATGAGATACTTTTATAAATTTACATTAGTGTTAGGAATGAGATACTTTTATAACTTTACTTTAGAGTTGGAATTAGATACTTTTATAACTTGACATTAGAGTTGGGAATGAGATACTTTTATAACTTGACATTAGAGTTGGGAATGAGATACTTTTATAACTTTACATTAGAATTAGGAATGAGATACTTTTGTAACTTTAAATCAGACTTAGGAATGAGACTCTTATATAACTTTACAGTAGAGTTAGGAATGAGATACTTTTATAACTTTACTTTAGAGTTGGAATTAGATACTTTTATAACTTGACATTAGAGTTGGGAATGAGATACTTTTATAACTTTACATTAAAGTTAGGAATGAGATACTTTTATAACTTTACATTAGAGTTGGGAATGAGATACTTTTATAACTTTACATTAGAGTTGGGAATGAGATACTTTTATAACTTGACATTAGAGTTGGGAATGAGATACTTTTATAACTTTACATTAGAGTTAGGAATGAGATACTTTTATAACTTTACATTAGAGTTAGGAATGAGATACTTTTGTAACTTTAAATCAGAGTTAGGAATGAGACTCTTAAATCAGAGTTAGGAATGAGACTCTTATATAACTTTACAGTAGAGTTAGGAATGAGATACTTTTATAACTTTACTTTAGAGTTGGAATTAGATACTTTTATAACTTTACATTAGAGTTGGGAATGAGATACTTTTATAACTTTACATTAGAGTTAGGAATGAGATACTTTTATAACTTTACATCAGAGTTAGGAATGAGATACTTTTATAACTTTACTTTAGAGTTGGAATTAGATAATTTTATAACTTTACATTAGAGTTAGGAATGAGATACTTTTATAACTTTACATTAGAGTTGGGAATGAGATACTTTTATAACTTTACATTAGAGTTGGGAATGAGATACTTTTATAACTTTACATTAGAGTTGGGAATGAGATACTTTTATAACTTTACATTAGAGTTAGGAATGAGATACTTTTATAACTTTACATCAGAGTTAGTAATGAAAATCCACCGTGTTTAAATATTTTAATGAAACTAGTAATGTTCGCTGTTGAGGTTGAGGAAGGCATGGAACATTATTATTTTTTTCTCACATCTCTGTGACTTCTGATAATAATTAAAGTTTTTGTGCAATGCCATAATAATGCTTATTCATATCAATCACTAATTTTATTTTTTTAAACTCTGTATAAAATCTGAAATTTAATGAGACTGTCATGTCATTGCCAGGTGGCACAAAACATACACTCTCATTATCATATATATCACTTTAGTTATTGACCTGATTGCATTTATGAAACTTTGAAACAAGTTTGCTGTCCAGTTATCTTAATTACTTCAATAGGAATGTAATTCACATAGTTATCCAGGTCATTGTCATAGTTATCCAGGTCATTGTCATAGTCATCCAGGCACTCTGAGTGAACTTCCAGCTGTAATTCAAAACCATTGCTACACAAGATCAATTAGTTTATCAAATTTGCAGGCATTGTAGAAACAATTTTTGTTCGTGTCACTGTTGCTTTTAGATTTATTCTTGTGGAATTTTCTTCAGAATATCTGAAACAGTAGAAATTCTATGCCAATTTTTTTTCTTCCCATATTATATTCAACATGGGTTTGGCTGTCAGATTCATACTCTTTGTTCAGAATAATTTTATTGTATAAGGATAGGTCAATCCAAGATGCTGTCAGGTGATTCTGACATTTTGACATGCAAATGAAGACTAATGAGAGCCATGGTTTTTTAAATACATTGTATGTCATTTTTCTCCTTTTAAATTAATTTGATGAATCAGACTTGTAGAATACTGTTTTGTTGGTCTCAGTTGGGAAAACATGAAAAGCAAGGCGGCATGTCTGGTTAATAAAGCTGTGTTTAATTTGCATAAAAAATATGAAGTAAAAAATTTTCTGCTGATTATTGATAATAACCAATAGCATCAGTCACATTTAGACAATAAGCAGATAAATGGGGAAGTGAGGCCACTGAAAGGGCTCTTAGGATACTCTCACAGATTGCATAAGTGCTCAAAGTTCACATGGAAAAATCTTCTTGTCTTATATCAAGGGGAACCATCCATCCTTGTTTTGTTCAGAATTTTCCAAAAACTTTCTTCCAGGTCTCACATGTTGGGACAAATATCTTTGGTAGCTGGTGAAGCCCCTCCCAAAGGAGAGCCTAGATGTTTAAGAAATTAATCAACTTCCACATGTAGGGAGATGATGGCAATTTTTCATGTCTCTAACAGTGTGCATTCCTCAAGTTGAATATTGCTTCCTGGAGGTTGAGCATTCTGCAATATTGGGTTGTGCCCTCCCTGCAACAGTGGGTTGTACCTTCCTTCAGGGAGGTAGTGGTTGTGCCCTCCCATTTGGAAGGTAGAGCACCACAATAGTGGATTACTCCTTGCCTTGAAGGAGGTGGAGCATCACTTCCATCATGGAGATAGATCACCACAACACATATCATGCTTCTGGCAGCATGATGCTCCTTCTGTTAGGGAAGCAAAACACCATACAGAGGATGCACACAGTGATAAATCAGTTGAAGATGAGTCCTTCCCCATTTATCACTCATCAGTCTCTCTCTACAGGGACAGGACGAGGACCTATCTCCCCCCTTCCCCCTCCTCTTTAACATCACACCCTGTGCTGGATTTGCAATCAATACACTGGACTCAGCCTTGGATGGGGACTGCATCAGTGTTCCTGTTTCCAATACCTATGAACCATTATGGGATGTGGGGCCTTTCAACTCAGGGCCCTTGGTTCATTAATCACCCATGGGCAAGTGGACTTTGCACTACTGTTGAAGTGATGCTGCTGCTAATGTCCCTCCATCACCTCATCACCAGGTGGATTCCTTTTGGAAGGTTTAAGGTGATATATTATTTTGTGTATGTGTGTGTGTTTTGATTTGTTGTTGTTGTTGTTGTTGGGCTTAACGCCATTTTTCAGCACATGATAGGCTATTCATGGCGGCCAGTAT